ACAGCATTTATGGATGTAACTATGTATCGTAGTGCCTAACACAAAGGTGCCAAAGTAATCCTGAGCCCATGTGGTTATATCGCTTATAGAAGAGTGACGATTCTTGATACAGTGCCATCTGGGGGATCTGAGAGCTCGATCATCTGTCTTAGGCTTGCACCCTTTACACACTGAAATCCCTTCAGATTCCGTGAATCTTTTAATTATGTTATGCACCATAGAGGGTGACATACCCAAATCCCTTCCTATCTTCCTTTGAGGAACTTTTTTTTTTTAATATTTCAGTAATTTTCTCACCCATATGTTGGCCAACTGTTGGTCCTCGGCCCATCTTTGGGCTCGGCTTTTCCTGGATGCCACTTTTGTACCAAATCATGATGCAGTCACCTGTTGGCATCACCTGTTTCAAATGGAATCACCATTTCATTGTTTTACCTCATTACTGGCCCTGAAATGCAACTGTCCCAGCTTTTTTTGGAATGTGTTGCAGGTGTCAGAATTGAGGTGATTATTAAACTTATTATATTAAACTTTGCTTGCAGGAACTTGCCTGAATATGAAGTTTATCATACTGAACACCATATCACCTTTTTTTTTGGAAAATGGATGACAATAATGCAGTGGATTAAAGATTCATAATAAAATGAATTTAATCATGAGAAGGCATTGGTATGATCTTTATCTTTTTTCACAGTGGTGAAGGCGAAGTTTGGAAATGCCGATGGAGAATTCTGTAAATTCCCCTTCTCGTTCATGGGCACTGAGTACAACACCTGTACATCCCAAGGCCGTGATGACGGCTTCCTGTGGTGCTCCACCACTTACAACTTTGATGAAGATGGCAAATATGGATTCTGCCCTCACGAATGTAAGTTTGTCCTGTGGTTCTCCTTTTTGGCATGCACAGCCCATTTTGTCCTTAGTGTCTTTATAGATATATAAATATGTGGCCCTACTTGACCTTAACAGCATTAGTATCATCTCCTACATGCACATTGCTGAACCTCAAAAACATTTAATACTTTAGTAAATGGAAGAACACTTTTTTATACTGGCACAGTAATGCTGTGCATCATGCTGTGTTCAAAGCTGTTCTGTTGATTTTGGACAGAAAGAAACTAGGTTGAACTGTATGCCAGGAAAGTGTGTTTTTTGTTTTTTTGTTTTTTTTTTTGGAGTAGACTGTGAAATATTTCTTTTCCAAGTTACTGCCTCACTTTAGAACACTGGGCTTTGTCAGACATTTTGTTTATCTGTGTTATGTTGCTGTCCATGGTACTAACATGATCACATTCCCATTACAAGAAACTGCCAAAGAACACATGTACTGAGTTGTTTGTTATGAAAAGAACATGAGTGGGGCCTATTTGTACTGCACCCATCTGTTCTGTTAAGCCTTTTTATTCTTGTAAAAAGTTTCTTAATTATAATTTATCTTATTCTCTGAGCACATTTGTCTTAAATTATCACTCAGGGGTCAAAGGGTCTTTGTGGCTTATAATAATCACTTAGGAATTGAAGCTTGTTCTTTGTAAGCTATTAAAATGTACTATGCATAAAATCATTAGGATATATATGGTAATAATATTTATATTTGTTGACTTTTGTTTTACAGTACTGTTTACCCTGAGTGGAAATGGAGAGGGTGCTCCATGTAAATTCCCCTTCACCTTTCAGGGTGAGAAGTATGATGGATGCACCACACAGGGTAGAAGTGATGGTTACCGCTGGTGTGCCACTACTGAGGACTATGACCGTGACAAAACATACGGGTTCTGCCCTGAAACTGGTAGGTTGTGTCATATACTGTGTTATACCTGTAATGTCAGACTGTGTTCATCATATAATAGTGTACTGCCTAGTCAACTAAGATGCCACCAAGGAAAAACATATTTTCATTTTCTGTTGCACAAGTACTCACATAATGTATGGGTGTAGTGGTGTGTGCATTGTCTTCAGTTTATACAGCCTGCTCATGTGCTTGTGTGGATGCAGTTAGTACATTTTATTGGCTGTTTTTATGTTGAT